AACTATATGTAGGCGCATGTCAATGGTTCCCAAAGGGGGCGCATACTAATATGAATTTATATAGGGGTCACAATTAATAAATATAATAATATTTTAATTGTGCCTTAAGGCAATTTAATACAATTTTCAAAAAATATTGGATGGATATAATTATTACATAAACTAAACATTCGCTAGACATGAAATTCATGGAAAATAAAAAAAATTCAAATTGTTGAAAACATATGAAATTTTTGAAGAGTTTTGTTGCTTTATAATCTAGCGATAAGATAAATTAGAAATTTTTATGATGAAATTTGACAAATTTTAAATTCTTTTTTTTTTTTAATTTCTTTGAATAGCAATATTTGATATTATACATGATAAAATTTATAAATATATAAATAAATATAGATGAATGCTGAATAAAGTTTATAGCCTTACAAACATCTCAAATTCGACGGCCCATGAAACATTATTAAAATTTTTATAATGTTCTGAAGTTTTTCCAATTGACGCAGAGTAATTAAGCTAATTGGCAAACATTTTTAATATCACTTTTCAATAATTAGTTGAATTAAGTACATTAATAAAAATATTTAGAAACGTCTGAAAGTTCTAATTGATTATAATGAAGTTGAAGGAATTTTAGATGAGGATTTTATGTGAAGAGCTTTTTGTTCAAGTGGACATACCTATATATCTCTATAAAATATCTTTTCTCGTAAATATTGATACAACTAAGTCATCAAATTGAAGATACAATTTTACCAAAATATATAGGAAAAGGCGTAGAGTTCCAAATAACATTATTTGATTAAATTACTATGTGAACAATTTATGTACTTAGCGATTAGGCTGTGATTAGAATGACTTTTATTAATAAAAATATTATTAACGGAGAAATGTTCTTTTAGTAGAACTACATATGTGTGTAGTCATACTTCCTAGTTTTTTAGAAAAAAATAGTGGTAGGAAGAAATAATAATCTTGTATCAGTTTCAGAACTTGAAACGTACAAATACTTAATGATATATATTTTAAATAAATGTAATTGTGATTAAAGGTTCGGATCGTGTGTGTATTTCTATTATCTCTCTAAATTATTCCATATAACATTTATTTAAATTTAAAATTAATTTGGCGAATGTGCTATTAGTGTCTTAATATTCGTGAAGTTTCAGATAGCTAAATCTATATGAGATATTTTTGACTTAAACTGATTCAATTTTCTTGAAAAATTTATATGTTTCTTATGTGTAGTTTAATATTTTATGCATATAAATTAGTCATAGAAACTGATAGAACATATTAGCATTAAATATATTTTTTAAAATTGTCATATAGTTGAATACAATTTTTATTTTAAAACGAGACAAGTCTGTATGCAATTTGTTTTTGTGTCAAATTGTCACAAAAATGATGATTTGATTCTGATCAAAGGTTAGGCCTTCAATTTTTTGTGGTCGTTTCGATTGAATCGCATTTAATTTTTCTATTATGTGTTTATTTATTTTCTCTCTAAATGTCTTTTGCATCATTGTATAAACTTTTTAATAAAATTTAAAATTATTGGTGAAGTATCAGATAGCTATAATCTATATGAGATATTTTTGATTTAAACTGATTCAATTTGCTTAAAAAACTTATATGTTGTTTATGTGTCAGTTTAATATTTTATACACATCAATTAGTCATACAAAGTGATAGAACATATTGGCATTGAATATTAAATATTTTTCAAATCGTCATATAGTTTTTTTTTTTGCATACTTTTATTGTCAATCAACATTAAATACGTCATATAGTTGAGTGCAATTTTTACTTCAAAACGTGACAAATCTGAATGCAATTTATTTTTGATTCAAATTATATTACATAAGTGTTGTCAAGTTTTTCCTAATATTATTCATGAAATATATTGATTATTAATATATTGACATTTCAAACTGAGATGTAATGATCAATGTGAAATATGTTTTATCAGCTATATTGAAACAAACTTCATAGTTTTAATTAAATTTTATAATAGATATTGTAACTTATTCCGGTAATTTGATTTTTAAATTATCTAATGAATTGCTCTATTATAATATTAGCTTTTATGTCAAGATTGTAAGTGAACTAAAATTTACTTGTAGATCAATTGCAGTAGGTATGTGATAGTTCCGGATATTTTTTATTATTTTTACACATGTCATGCCTGGCAAAGCTCTTTATAGAAATATTTTGTAACTCTATAATCTTCATTCATATTTTATCTGTCAATGAGACATGATTTCATCAAAAATTTATACCACTGGCCGTGTTCGGAACACGCGCAATAAGTCAGGGCCCATAGTATTTAATATTTATCATAAATTTGTGTTTAGTGATATCTCAGGAAAGTTTTGCACATGAAAAACTAATCATTCCTTGTTTTATTTTCGGACTAGTTACATTACATTGAAAATTGTTGTGAGAGTATTTATAATTCAATGTTGTAAAATAGAAATATGAAAATTTTTGTGAATTTGTTTTTGAAAATTATATTTTTGCGCTTTGCTTTTTCGGAAAGAAATAATTTTGATATACAGAAATCGCAATGTGACGAACTGAGATACTTGTTTTGGAGTTACGCTAAGCACATAGCTAAGGTATGATTATTGAATTATTTTAAATGCTATTTCAAACTTTTTTTTATTATATTATTACTTTTAGAATGTTTTGGGGCTGCATTACATATCTTTTGGTCGCAAAAGTTTTTCTTCGCCTGCTATTAGCAATCAGGAAGTACAGTGCCTACTATCTAACGCTAAAATTCCTATAACATTTTCTTCCTTTGTGTTCGAAAAGTAATTGATTTGGAATATATTTTTAATAATGATATATAATTTAAAATTGTCCTATTTAATCAGGTATATTTATGCAGGGACCTACCAGAAGAAAAAATTATAATGGATGTCTTGGATATCGACAGTCACGATAGCCTTGTTTACATTCTTATAACAAATTCTTTAAAATTGATTGAACTCTTCTTTCGTATTTTATATAATGAAAATGCAATACAAAAAACATTATTTTAATGACTGATAAAACCAATGATTTGGATGGTTTATTAAAACTCGCTTGGACCAATTACAAAATACTCAATATTCTAAACTTTCAATTAAATCAAAAGAAATCAGACATGGGAGTAATGGAGATGAAAATTGACATTTCATTTTTTGATCCATTTGCTGCATATCAAAATAGTCAACAAGGCATACATAGAATTTCAATATTTAGACATGCATTCAATGAAAAAAATATAATACATTCTCAAAAAATATTTCACAATCGAATATTGAATTTGCGCGAGTACCCAGTGCGAACCGGCGTGATAAACTTTCCTGGATACTTGGAAATGGTAAACGATGGAGATATTTTAAGACACACAAAAGTTTATGGAAATGTCTTGAATTTAATATCACGTTACATGAATTTTAAGCCTATGTCAATAATTCCACGAGACGTCGCTGCTTATGGTGGACTTTTAGAAAATGGTTCTGTTGTGGGACTTATAGGACTTTTAGAACGCGAAGAGGTTGAATTTGTAGCAAATGTTAGAGTTTATGAGCACAATTTTCTTGAAAATGCAACATTTTCTTCTATTCTGGGCGAAACATCACATTGCTTCATTACTCCTAATAAAATAGCCAATTTGAAGAGCACTTTTACCAGCATAGTGGGCAAAAGGACATATTCTGGATTAACAATTACATGCGTAATTGCAGTTTTACTTAAGTATATTCACCATAAACTTCATTGTCATTACGCTAAGACATATAAAAAATTCGATCTTTCCAAGCATTTTATAGAACTTCTTGCTTATTATTTACTAGTGTCTTATAAAGTACCTACGAATAGATTTCACAAAAGTCTTTTCATCGTTCTTATATTTATGACGATGGTGGTTAATTTGACTTATCAGGGCAACATGGTGAAAATATTAACTCTGGAAACAAAATCAGTGAATTTGAAGAATTTAAGAGAACTTGCAAATAGCAATTTGAAAATTTTGATGACAATTGGAACCGCAAGTTATAATCCATTTCGAGCTCTTGGAGAAAAAATCAATGAAAAAGTAAAAGCTCGTATGATTAAAGTTACTGAGTATGATGAAGGTATAGATAGAGTTATTAATAACAAAGATAGTGCGTTTTTAGTATTAAAATCTTTTATCGATGTTTATGGAAGTAAATGGTATTCTAATAAAACTGGTTCAAGTTTGGTCAACGTAATTTCTGACGAAGAAAATATGAGAGCATTCCTTGCATTACTGGTTATAAGAAGAAGCCCGTATTTAACTCGCATCAACTCTATGGTGAAAAGAATTCGTGAAGCCGGATTATATGATAAAATATATAGAGATTCAGTTTTCATATCCCAGTTGCAGTTATCTCGGATGCCAAAACCGGCAAATAAGACCAGTTTTTCTATGGAAGAACTATGGTTCATATTTTTACTTTTGGGTGCTTCATTGACCGCGTGCACTGCCACATTCCTTCTTGAAATAATATATAAAAAAATTAGCAGCAGAAAGTTGTTTTTGACAGTTTAGCTTTATATTGATATTGAAACATATACACATATATAATATAAGGACGTAGATATGTTAACTATGCAGAAGCGTACATTCTTATGTTTTCTATATTATAATAATCTATTCATCTGTTTTCTTTATCTCTAAGTACAATAATAAACTATTAATAAATAAACTTGCGATGTACTAATTTTTCTGTCTAATGACATTAAAATAATAGAACAATACAAGCAATACTCACTGTACTTGATTGGCTTTAATTATATAAAATTATATATTTTGATTGGCTTTGATTATCATACATATATTAGTATAGACAATGATTAATATATTTAACATAAATATTTATTCATTTATATAACGTAAATGCTCCACAAAAAGACTTTGGTACGCCCTTCATTATTTGGCAGATTTATAGATAGAATTATAGTTAGGCCAAATAGTTGTTTTAAAATAATTATCCTTTATATTTTCCTTTTCCAAATATTCCTTGAAAACCGCCTCCGTAACCCCCTCCATAACCACCATATCCCCCATAGCCTCCGTGACCTCCGTAACCCCCGTGGCCTCCGCCATAACCTCCATGACCACCTCCATAACCGCCATAGCCATGACCATGACCATGTCCTCCATATCCTCCATATCCTCCGTGTCCGCCATAGCCACCAATATATCCTCCACCAGGACCTCCTCCATAGCCGATACCGCCATAGCCTCCTCCATAACCTTTTTTAGCTTCTGCTTGACTTCCATAGATCAAGAAAATGGCTACTGCCATTATGGCAAATGCAGAAAACGACTGGAAAAATAAATATACAAAGTTTAAATTAATAACTCTGATAATAAAAGTTTTTTTGAATTCTTTTCTTCATTTTATTTGGTAACAATTCCGAATACTTTGAAAAAAAATTCTAATTGAAGAAATGATGAATTAATTTTTAAAATCGATTTAGTTTATGCTGCAAAATAGGTTAATAAATAATATCAATTTCTATTTTATAAATAAACTCCTGAAGCAAACTCTTCAGTAATGTTATCATAAAACCAAATTGTTTGTGAGATGGGAAAATGTAAAATATCTAAATTGTTTGTAAATAATTTTTAATGGACTTATCAGAAACCAAAATATAAAGAACTCACTGAGTATAATGCCTATTTAATGTACCTAATATGATGATAAAGAAAAACTAGTGGAGTATGGCATCGTGCCTTAAGGCAAGTTGCTGGAACTTTCCGTACCGTAATAAAATATTCAAAGATTTTTTTGTGTGATAAAAAAAGAGGAAAGAAAATTTTCCTCAAAAAAAAACCTAACAATATCTATAATAATAGATAAATACACTAAAAAAAAAAAAAAAAAAAAAATTTATTCGAGTTGAAGGAAAATCTGTGACGTGCCAAGTACCATCCGCTGCTATGGGTCGATCAGGGTATAGTTTGGCAAGGCGAATATTTGAAGAATACTATATGTTTTTAAATATATTATAATAATTGATATTTCAAATATATGAGTGAGCTTTAGAATTTTAGCTAGAATTAGAATTAAATTCCGAATTATTTTCAAAATTGAAAAATTTATAAAATTTTTTTTGCTTTCCTCAGAAGCAATCGTTTTGTCAATACAAGCAAAAGCTTTTTTAAATCTCTGTTTGTCTGTTCTCTCAAAAATTTAATTTATATTTTCTGCATTCTATGCTTTATGTCTTCGGAACGGCTGGATCTGTTTTTGCCAAAAACTAATCAGCATATCTCCCCATTAATGTTTTTAGAATCATTCAAATCGGATGGTCTGTTCTCTCAAAAATTTAATTTATATTTTCTGCACTCTATGCTTCGTGTCTTCGAAACGACTGGATCTGTCTTTGCCAAAATCTAGCCAGCACGTCTCCTCATCAGTACGAATCGAATGCTTTTTGAATATTAAAAATCGGTTGATCCATGCGTCCGAAATCGTGTACGAAAATTTGTATCAAAGGTTTTTTATATCATTCAAATCGGATGCTTCGTTCTCTCAAAAACTACAGTTTTTTGCACATTTAGCCCCATATCTCCAAAACAATTAGACCTGTCTTTTCCAAAAAGTAATCACCACTTTTTCCTATCATTACGAATTAAATGTTTTTTGAATCATTCAAATCGGATGGCCTGTTCTCTCAAAAATTTAATTTATATTTTCTGCACTCTATGCTTCGTATCTCCGAAAGGGCTGGATCTATCTTTGCCAAAAACTAATCAGCATGTTTAGTTTAATCAGTAATGAATCACAATGAACTAATCAGTATTGAATATTAAAAATCGGTTGATCCATGCGCCCGAAATCGTGTACGAAAATTTGTATCAAAGGTTTTTTATATCATTCAAATCGGGTGCTTCGTTCTCTCAAAAACTACCATTTTTTGCACGTTTAGCTTTTTATCGCCAAAATGATAAGACTTATCTTTGCCAAAAACTAATCACCATTTTTCCTCATCATTACCAATTAAATGTTTTTTGAATCATTCAAATTGGATGGTCTGTTCTCTCAAAAATTTAATTTATATTTTCTGCACTCTATGCTTTGTGTCTCCGAAACGGCTGGATCTGTCTTTGCCAAAATCTAGCCAGCATGTCTCCTCATCAGTACGAATCGAATGCTTTTTTAATATTGAAAATCGATTAATCCGTGCGCCGAAATCGTGTACGAAAATTGGTATCAAAGTTTTTTTATATCATTCAAATCGGATGCTTCGTTCTCTCAAAAACTACCATTTTTTGCACATTTAGCCCCTTATCTCCAACACGGATAGACCTGTCTTTGCTAAAAACTAATCACCATTTTCCTCATCATTACGGATTAAATGTTTTTTGAATCATTCAAATCGGATTGTCTGTTCTCTCAAAAATTTAATTTATATTTTCTGCACTCTCTGCTTCGTATTTGCGAAACGGCTGGACCTGTCTTTGCCAAAAACTAGCTAGCATGTATCCCTCTCAGTAGAAATTGAATGTTTTTTGAATATTTTAAAATACATGCGCCCGAAATTGTGGACGAAAATTTGTACCCCCACAAAACACACACAAATGTTCAGAATCTTCTGAATCGTGAAAACATGCAAAAATTTTCATTTTCGATTTTTGGATGATTACTATAACTTACCCTACGTGAAGCTAATGAAATTAAATTAGACAATATACGCAAAATTTGAGGAAATCGTTAAAAGTGATTTTTTTATCTCGCGTGTCTGTTTAATTTTGTCGTACAAGGATAAACATTTTGAACTGATACTTCACTTTTTATTGGCAAAACAAACTATAACATACTTCAACTACACTTAGGATAAAATAGTTGATAATAATATTTTTTTTCACTTACTTTCATTATTTTAGTCTCTTCTTCAGTACGAACAATACAAACACTAGTTGTTTTTTAAAACCATCTCTTCCGATGTCGTCCTTTTATACGCAATTGTGAAAAATATGACCAGGATGTAGTCATATTTTGCAACTAATTAATAAATTCTGCGGTAAAGCCCTGCTGTAAATCGTGACTAGATAGATTGTGTTATTTTATACAAATAATCGTCATAAACACGAAATAATGATTCAATCTTTGAAACGTATCTAATTGTTTCTAACGACGGGTTTTGTTTTCAGCTCGGGTTCGCGTAAATCAATTTGTTCTAGTGGAATCTCGCAATGCATCTTGCAATTAGTCGCATCACGGTATTTTACTTACAAGTGATATTAATGACATCACATGTACTTTTTCTACTTACTTGAGTTTACTTGGAACATCAATTAATAGATAATTATTTATTGTTAATGACATAAAATTATAGGATATTGATATGTTGTTACAATTTGTAGTTTTCGTCAACATATTGTCTTAAGCGTAGATGGCTTTAGTCATTTTTATAATTGTTGGCGATATCCGGTCATATACACAATAATTAAGTAGATTCATTATTTACGGATTTCCCCCAAATTTTGCCTTCCAACAGAAGGTTTCAGTATAAATACCCACTTCGGACAGCCGATGTCAAACAGTAGTGTCATCGGTTTTCACTTGAAAATATAGATGTAAAATTTCCAAGCGAAAATAGCATTTTTCCGGCAGAGCTGCATCAAATTAAAAATGATCAGTTCTAAAAAAATTTATTAAAAAAATGTATCAAGCGGAGATAGGCCAACCGTTGGGTTGTCCTCTACAAAACTACGTATACGTTAACAGTTAACATGGGCACTCTACTAAATCAGAACAGTTCATAAAACTCTTAAGTTTTTAGTCTTATGAGTCTGATTTTGTCTGCTCTAATAGAAAAAATCTTATTATTCGGAAAAGCGGAATGTTAAAACTGAAAGTCAGCCGTGATACGGACTAGCGATTCCTAATCCCAGTCTCGGTGAGCTAGGTGACAAGTAGTATGATTTTAAGTTTTCACTTGAAATCACAAATCTCAAATATTATCTTAAGTGAAAACAGTCTTTTGGGGCCATTACTGCATAAAAAATATGAAGTCCAAATAAACTTATTCTAATTTTCAATTTACTAATACTGCAAATTTACAGAAAATATTTTATTATCAAATTATATGAAATTTGTATTACATTTCTATTTTTGTAAATGTTGTGTTGCTTATAAATAAGATTCATGTTTTTTTTACTCATGTTTAATATTTTTGACACATATATAATATTAACTAGATTTACAATAATAGTTTCGCTAAATTTTATTAAAATTAACCCTTTCCACTCGGATGCCGCCACTCCGGCGGCAAAATTCATATAAATCTCGGAATTCGCGAGTGGAAAGGGTTAAAATAATTGTTTTTGTCATCGTCAACTGAAAATAGGTATTTATGTTAAAAAATATAGGCAAACATACATTTTATATAGAATGAAATAAAAATCTGGAAAAACCAAAAAAAGCTGACCGGTTTGAAATGTATATATTTTTACAAAAAGAATCTAACTATTTTTTAATAAAAAAAAGCTAGTTATTTATTTTATTTAAAATAATTTTTCGAATAAATTATGTGATTTTTATGTTTGTTTAATTTCATAACTCGACAAAATTTTCTGCTATAAGACAACTGGGGTAAAAAACCAATAATTATGAAAAAAATTAAAATATATTATTTAACAAAAACTAAGCTACTTGTTTGTTCCACTCAAAATTATTACCTGAATAGAAAAAAAATGAAAATATTCATCAGTTAATTGAATTTGATTATCAATTTTTATTTATAATTTTAACAGCGATCAAAACTACTTGTTTTATAATCTGTGTTTGCTATCGTACATCTAAACCAGGTATTTTTCTTAAGAGAGCAACCAAGCGGTCAACTTTTTTTTTATATTGACTACAAATTTATATTAGACATGATGTGATGTAATATTGTTGGCATATATGTGTTGGAGCAATACCCCCAAAAAACTCAATTTTCACTTGATTATATTTGAAATCAATAAACTAAAGTAAAAATTTGATATCATATTGCTTGATATCGAGAAGCCCTTGATTGGGATTATACCACTGACTAGTTTAAGCTAGGTCAAAAGTTCTTAACCACTACACCACGACGGTAGACTAGAAATTAATTATTCAATTTTTCAGTTTAATAATAGAACGTCACAGAAGTGATGTAAAAGTGCTAAAGATCGCATAAACGTATCATGATAATGTTGCGTATATCATCGAGTATGAGTAAAGAAAATATGAATCTTACAACTCATGAATCATTCAAGTAAAATTGTTTAGAAAAGAAAGCACGCGCTAAAAAACACGCTAATAGTAGGGAATAACGTGAATGCGTTCGAAACACGTTCTTCCCAACGCATATAATAATCACTTTTGATTTAATTAGAAATTTGCGACGCAAGCGATTCAGGCTACATATTAGTCATAATAAGTCGAATTCGCAATTCTGTTTATCACTCCATGATAAATCGTACACATCGATATGAGGAAGTGCGCTTCTTTATAATCTCATTTCTATTTTAAAAATATTGGATATTATTCATCATTATCTTCATAATAAATTATTTTCAAATATTTTATTTAAAGCTTATAATATATTTACAAAATGGTAGTTTAATAGAGTTGTCAAAGTTGTTTTTTTCTTCAAAAAAGAAATAAATGTAAAATTTTTAGTTTATATTTTTATATATAATGTTTAATTCAGAATATTAAACCCAAAAAGAAGATCTTATTGTCTATGAAAAATAAAAATAAACTAGTGGGGTGGGTGGCATCGTGCCTTAAGGCAAATTGCTGGAACTTCTCGTACCGTAACGAAATGTTCGAGGAATATTGAATGTTTTCAAATAGATTATTATAAATATTGTAACATTGTCTAATATTTATAAGAATTATATAAACTGAATTGCAGAGTTGAAATTATTTGTTTAAAGTATATTAGAACTATAGTCAGAATTAAAAATAAAATCTGAATTATTATTTTCGATATACAAAAAATTAAAAAAAAAAAAAAAAAATTGAAACAAATTTTTTTTTCCAAAATCAATTATTTTGTTAAGACAAGCAGAAAGTTCTTTGAATCAATTGAATCTGACGCTTAGTTCTCTCAAAAACTGCCATTTTTTGTACATTTAGCTCTGTATCTTCGAAATGGCTGGGCCTATTTTTGCGAAAAACTAATAACCCCTTCTTCCAATCATTACTAATTGAATGTTTTTTAGATCATTCAAATCGGATGCTCCGTTTTCTCAAAAATTCGATTTCTATTTTCTGCACTCTTAGCTCGTTATCTTCGTACCTGCTGGACCTGCCTCTACCAAAAACTAATCAACACATCTCCTTATCAATAGGAATCGAATGTTTTTTAAACCATTCAAATCGGTTGATCCGTACGCCCGAAAACGTGGGCGAAAATTTGTATCGATACATACATACACACACACACACACATCCAATTTTTCTGAAGTATGCCAAAATGTTCAGAAACCTTCAAAACGTCGAGAAATGTAAAAATTTTCAATTCTTATTTTCGGCTCATTACAATAACTTACCCTACGGGAAGTTAATAAATTGGAAAGAGTGTTAAAACGCAAGATATGGAAAGGGTTAATTTTAATAAAATTTAGCAAAACTATTATTGTAAATCTAGTTAATATTATATATGTGTCAAAAATATTAAATATGAGTGAAAAAACATGAATCTTATTTATAGGCAACACAACATTTACAAAAATAGAAATGTAATAAAAATTTAATAATAAAATATTTTCTGTAAATTTGCAGTATTGGTAAATTGAAAATTAGAATAAGTTTGTTGAACTCTTGCCGTCTAGTATTATAATACATTGTTATAATACTAAAACATATATTTTGTTACAGAACCTATTGAAATTGAATTTAAAGTTTTATTGATGTTTATTGAGCATTTGAAAGATTTTGAATTTTTTCTGATTAAAACTATAATTTCAGGAAGTTGAAGTGAGTGTGTCATGTATAATTTTTCTAATTATTTTCTTCTGTTCGAAGTAAAGTATATACTAAAATTAGTCTATATAGTTTAATTTAGAAGTCGATTACGTTCTTACAAACAGATGTAATAAAATGGAAAAGCAAACTATTGTATGTATTTTTGTCGCAAATTGTAAAGTTGTAGTTACAAAAGACTTGCTTGCGTAAATGAACAGATTTACAGCTTACATTTTGCTAAATTATTTATTTTTAGGGTGTAGGTTATTTTGTATTAACTTGTATAAAATACATAAATTTTACTTAAAAAAAATTGCATAAAATGCGATTGGCATTCAAAAATTCGTCAAATCGAAAGAGAAAGTATAACTAAATTTTTATTTGTGGGATTTTATTTTTCAGTTTTATAACGTTCCAGAATTTTCCTTTGAACTTTTCCATTTCTCTGGGATAAAACAATTTCGAAATGGTTCGATTTGATTCTGTGCTGAAATCGTTTATCGTTTCCTAAACATAAAACTAAAGAAAACCGCAAAGAAGTGAGTTATTTTTATTGCAACGCAATTCACAAAGGATTTTCACTGTCCAGTAGAGAAAATAAAACATTGGACTTTCTAACAGGAAATTTACATGTTTAACGTATGTTGTGCTCGCACGCACTTTGATATGATAAAATAACATTTTTCTTTGAAATGTTATTTTCGTGTAGTAAACTGGATCTGAAGAGCATTTTGTCCATTAGCAAGTTGCAAGTGCACGCAAATTGCAGAAAGCGAGTGGTGATTGCCTTATCCAGATTCAGATTTATTCACATGAAATGTTTTGTAAATAAGTTTAGTAATACATCAAGTAGCAAGTTTGTGGTAATATAAGTAGATCTGAGCTAGTAATAGTCGTAACTGCGTAATTTTAATTCGCCGGTATGGTGACACATTAACACGTTAACTTATCACGAACGGCCAAAGAA